CGTCACAGTTTCAGAAGCAACCGCTAACCTAACTAAAAATTACGTAATTTTCCATAAAAAAAAAACAAAAAAAAAAAAAACAAAAGTGGAAATAGAGCCTGTTGTTTCTCCGTTTTCCGTAACAGGCGCCATTCAGCTCCATGTATCCGTTAGCCGACATTTTCCCATTGAAAATTTCAGAAAATCACTCGCAACTTTTGAATCAGATATCGGTTAGCCTTGAAACTTTGGTATCATGCGTCGGACCGTTAGCATTGCAGTTGGACGCAGCATGAGTGTTCGTAGATGCATAGTTAATCTTCAAGGTGAAATAGACCCTGTATCTTTGTTTTTCAACACCTTTTACTTAAAGTCATAGACAACTTAATAAATGGATGTAATGCCAGAGTCGATCCGCTAATTGCGCAACGTCAGTGGCCGTGGAGTGGTCTTAAGATGCTAGGGAATCGAGGTTCTCGTCGTTTCTTAAACTCTCTGTGGCAAAGCCTAATGATTAACGAAAACCTTTTCATTTACATTTATTTTCTGTGAGATCTAACAAGAAGTTGTATCTTGACTTACCAAATGCGCTTGCAGCGAGAAGCAAGATAACCAACCTGAACATTTTTTTTTTTCAAAAGCGTCCGATTGCCTTAAAAAAGAAAGGGGAAGGCGAATAAAAAACAAAACAAGAAAACATACAGAAACAAAATAGAAGCAGCCTGGACAGCGAGTTACAGGTAAAATGTTTATACCCTCACTACAAAACGATGAGCATAAGTACGAAAAGTTCAAAGAAAATATTAAACGTCCGTGCCTGTAAATATACTCAACCCCAGCTTCAATGTTACATTATATGAAAAACAAAAATAGAGCGTTTATTTTTTTTACAAAGCTCTCGTGAGAGAACTGATGCATTTTACGGAGATAGCTCTGCATGCGATAAGGCAAGAAATACCTGTAAAACTAAAAAAACACACAAAACAAACACTTTGCGCTTTGACATTAAGCATGATGTAACCTTATGCTCTGTGTGACATCGCAGACTGTCTTTTTTAAGGTCTAAACATATCTTTAGCGACGTCATTCGCTGAGCTCTTTCAGCGTGTTGCAGCAATTAACTCTCTCAAGTGCTTCGCAAAAAAAGTAGGCGCACCTGCTTTCTGTTTTTTAGAATGTATTCGCCGAGAACTGAGGGAGAGAAGGACACGAGAGGGAACGTCAGAATGCCCAGCCCTGATTGGATGATTAGTGGGTAGACCTAAAGCTATAAGTGATTAGTGGGTAGACCTAAAGCCTTTGTCTGCTTTGCACTTCTCAAAAGCGTTCGAATGCGAGAGCCAAACACCGGACGCTGGCGTTCTCCGTTCAAAAGCGTTCGACGAATCCAGTGCTGACAAAGGCAGCTATAGCTTTAGGTCTACCCTCTAATCCCTCCAATCAGAGATCGGCGTTCCGATCTCCCCAACGCGCGCTCTGGGCTCCTCCTCTCCATCGGCGCCTTAAATAAAGTGCGACAAGGAGAAGCGTTCGGTGCTCACCATGCAAGGATGCCAAATGCGGGAAAGGACCGGCTGTCCAAACGGAGACCTGGCTGCCTCTGTGCTTTCAAAGGAGACTTCGGGCGATTTTATATCATTCCGAACTCCTTATCAAGCGTAGTCCGATCCTAAGAGGTTGCAACACAGTGGCAACTTATCAACGGGGAGGCGTCCCAAGTTCCGCTTCTTGTTTTGATATCAATCCTTCCGCATTTGTCGAACGTTCTCTGCGGGCATGTGATTTTTCTTTTCTAATAATCAATTTTCTAAAACTAAGGAACTAATGTATATTAAATATTAATATTTCAAGCTATTTCTTTTCGTAGAAGTTTGGGCTAGTTGCTAAGCAGACATGATAAAAACCAAAACAGCGCAAAGACAAGGACCAAGTGGAAGAAACCACAGGACACCAGCGCTGTGTCCTGCAGTTTCTTCTACTTCGTCCCTGTCTTTGCGCTGTTTTGTTTTTATCATATTTCTTTTTGTTTTTCTTCGTTTTTAGTAAGTTTCTTTCTCTCACTCTATAGACAATATGCGTATGTATTTGGTGTTATAACTACATTTGCTTACCCTTCTCCAGCTCATTTTTATATTTGTTCAACATGACGCGCCAGCTAAGGACGGAATTTTTTCGGCTAATTAATAAAAAAATATATATATATATTGTTGTTTGTTGCTCACCTGCTTTTCAGACTTTGCAACAATATTAAAAAGTGCATACGTACACTATCTTGGACTGTAGGCCAAAGGACCCCTTCAGGCAGCATACTTACTGACCCTGCCAACTCCCCGCCATTTCCGGCGAAAGTAAAAAATAAGTGTTTTGCTTTAGTTTCTTTTTTTTTTTCACAATACCGCACTGTTTATCCGCGGCTCGATTTAGTTTTTACAATATTTGGTTGTCAGACCAAGTAGCGATGCTTTCGACGTTTGAAACGTCTACGTCTTGATAACATAACATAAATCTGATCTACAATGCCGCCTAGGTACCTTATACCCTGTCAAACGGGCTAGTTTAGTGTCACTACAAGCGAGTGCACTTCAACCCGACGAAACACACTCCAAGTGTGTTGGTGCTACACGGGAAAACTTAGTGTCACTCCAAAATTATGGCAATTACGATGGGTAAGTAAAGGGCACGCAAAATATTACAGTGCATACGCATTTTTCCATAAATAACGTCGTCGTCTTATTAGAAACACGTTACCACACATTGTTGCGCTAAGGCACGAGCTTTAATCCAAATTTAAATCCAATTTGATCATTACGATCAGCCATTACAAGCCCGTGACACACACCCGCACTCCGGTACGATAGATCGAAACGAGCAGAAGTATAGGGATTGAACCCAGGATTCCTAGGTTCTGCAGCGCGAGCTTTCGCTCCGCGTGCTCCGAGCTGGTGTGCGCGAGCCCACTCGGCCACTCGCCACAACGAAACATCATGGAGTGTGCGGAGGACGAGCTGGAGGGCGATATCCACGATGTTGGACAGTGGAAGCGCATGTTTGGGGCACTTTTCTCCGTGAGAGCCCAACGCCTTCCCGATGAGATGCAGCTCGACCTGGATTCCGACGCACAGGCAAGAATTTCAAGTGACATCGATCAGCAGCTGCAGGTCAATGCCTTCACCATAGCCGCTCTCATGACCGACCATTTACCCGTGATCAGTCGACAACGGTGGACTTTCCAGAGGAACGAACGGTGGTCCGAAGACACCTTGCCCCATTCGGGCGAGTTTCATTTTAAGCAAGCCTTTCCAGAGCCGTTTCAGCCTTTAGTGTCTCTCCTGCCACCTTCACATTCCTGGTGGAGTCTTGCAGGTGCCTCCAGGCCGTCGCTGGCCGTCGCGCAGGGGCCAAGGCTGGAAACTAGATTAGTCGCTTGTTTTTCTACAATGCACCTTTCCTGCCAACAGAAAACAAGTGCGCATCTAATATTACTCCTATCAAAATAATACTAACTTTACGCAGCGTTAATTTCTTCTAATATTTTTACTCCTCGAACACTGCTGTCGAGATTACACACTCGGTCTACCGGAACGAGCGTAGTGTGCTCCCCGAACTCACTTCATTGGAAGTGTGTTCTTCGGGCAGGGCTGGGGATTGGGCTCAGGATCACTGGGTTCTCCCAGCGCGAGCTTTCTCTCCAAGTACTCCGATCTGGTGGGCGCTAGCCCACTCGGCCACCGATACCCCTTAATAAAGACACGTCAAAAAAATTATACGTTCACAATTCTCTGTAATGCCGAATTGGAGCTTAGCTCTTGAGGAGGAGGGAGGAAGGGTCCGAAGGGGAAAGTATGCCAGCTGCTCCCCTCCGTACCCTCCCATCCTCCTCTCCTGTTCCCATCCCACGTAGCGTAAACATTTCGCTAAATTTCCCGCTAAAATAAGCCGGGAAGTTCTCCCGCTGAATTAACGTGTGACGTCAGATGACACGTCATCTGAAATTTTAAGTGTGACGTCACGTGACGTCACACGGGTAAAATTTTCCTCTAAATTTATCGGAGAAATTTTCCGCCAAACTTACCAAACGCTTTTACCGCGAAAATTAGCGGCAAATTTTACCCTCGTGACGTCACACGTGATGACACACGTGACGTCACGTGTGGCGTCATTTTTGGAAACAGCCCTTAATGCAACGCGCGGTTACGCCGACGCCGCTCAACTCAGCAACGGGTTCCTAGGAGCTGTGCTCTAAAACAACATTACATTAATGAACGATTTTTACGCCAATTGGATGATTCTGATCGAACATAGCAAGCCAAGATAAAGAACGAAGCATATCCAACTTTGGCGTTCCGCTTCGTTCCACGGAAGTCTACGAGGAGGCCCTGACACTACCTAATCAGATCATAATTATTGTGTTGTCTCGAATAGTTACATGTCGAAACAAAAGTAGGCTCTATCATTCTCTGCTAACGAAGATAGCCATGAATGACTGACTTTGTCGTCGTATTTTATCAATTCACCGCTGCGCTAATCTTGATTCAGCTCAGCCTAAACTCCAAGTCCACCCCACTATTTGTATGCAATGCCACTCTTCTACATGTCGTCTCTTTCACGAATTTCTTTTTCTTTATAAAATAAACCTTACACCACGCTTTTGGTTTCCATGTTGTTATGTTTTACTGTTGAAACACTCCTATTGATGCCACGCATTCGATCGAGCGAAGTGAGTTCGTGAAACTCACTCCAAGCCAAGTGTGTTCCTCAGGAAGGAGCCGAGTGGCACACTACAGAAATGACACTAAGGGCGAAGTACACTCGCTTGTAGTGACACTAAACTAGCCTGTCTGACAGGGGTATTAATACTGCGGAATTTCCAACACCGCTAAATTTGTCGAGCTGCTGTGCGCTGCCAGAATCGGTCACAAATCCCTTCACGCCCACCCCCAACACCCCTCCCTCCCGAAATTGCGGAAGCAAACTCGTTCCATCTTAATCTAGGCATGTCAGAGCGAACTGTCATAGTTTATTCAATGGTAAGCGAAGGTCTCCTCAAGAGCCGCCAAGTAGCTCCCACGAAGGATCTTGCGAAGCTCCCAGTCGGTGTAACGTGACACCTCATCCACAAACTCGTTGTGCCGTCCAGAGTTGAGATCGAGGTAGCTGTCGTAAGAGATGCTAACTGACATGGGGCCGATGACCATGGAGTTTAGGCTGGCCTCCTTGGCTCTGATATCGTTCATGTTGAACAAAGCTTCTGCGCTCGTGACCCTTACTTTAACCCAGATATGCTTGAGCGTTCCATCCAAGTCGTCGCCCTGAGTCTGGAAGCAAAGACACAGAGCGATCAGATAGGTTACAAGAAAAATTGTGAACGCTATACGGCGAGCAAGTGTTCTAAATTGCGTCCTTGGCTCACCGAAACGAGAAGATTGACACGCCATAAGATGACGAAATAAAAAAAGAAAGAAAAAAACGCGTAGAGGACGCGCAACAACAAGGCAGCCAAGTTTGCACCGTCAATGGTTGATGTCGGAGGAAAACAAATGCACGTGGCAGCACGTGGTCCACAAGGAGCAGGCGAGCTTTCACGCTGTTTCGTCACTGGCAGCACAAAAAACGCCGGGCGTAGCTAATTATGTTAATTTTTCTACCTTCGTGATTCGTTCTTCGCTGTTCTTATTAGTGAAGGCCGCAATGGCCTTCGTTGCTTGCTAAGCGACATACAACGTTCGGGACTTACTACGCCCTGTGCGTCTTAAATTGTCGCCAACAAGAGCATAAACTCTTGGGTAAACATTGCATACCCCAAAAATCGGTGCTTCTACTTTGCCCCAAAGCGCTCAGGAGTCAATCGCCGCTATCTACGGAGGACGTAAGCGCGTGAATGGTCGTGCTCAGTGACACAGCCCAGACCGTTCTTTTTATCTTTCTGATCGAGTACTTGTAGCCTCGTCATTCGCCCAGACACAATCAATTTTGACGCGTCTATTTCCGCGCTTGGAAGGGGGTGCAAAGTTGCCAGTCGACGTCACGAAAACTTGGTCACGGAAGTGACGTCTCCCGAGGCGTGCACTAATGACGCGGCGGACATGCTGTCGCATCAGCCTCGCAGGAGCTGTCGGTTCCTTTCATCGGTGTGTGCTTATTCGTGTTTGGAATGGCCCAATAGCGCGTCCAGGTTTTCGCCGTCGACTTTGCAGGAAATTCCGCACATGCGCCTCGGAGATGGCGGCGCGGGGTGCTACGAAATTTCTACCGCACTCCTAGTCACGGGCATTTCCTTCTGGAGCACCCGCCTTCGTCATGCGGCACGAATTCGTGGATGTATCTGCAGCTGCCACAAACAACAAGACAGGGCACGGCCTCCACGATTGCACACATATATAGCTAACTCTCACTTCTTGTGCCACACTCTAAAGACAAGGACAAAAAGAATAAGTGAAGACGAAAGGTAACCAGAAACTAAGCTCTTTACTTGAGCGACAGACAAAAACTGTTGCGCCTCTAGCGGCTAAGTTGGGAACTAAACCTGTGGGGACAGCAACAACACGAATTATTTGTTTGCGCTTCGCTCGCAGCGCTCGGCTGACGTTACCGAACGCTCTGTCAACGTTTAGTTGTGGCTCTTTGATCAGGGATTTCCAATTGAACGCAAGCCCTCCCGAACGCTGTAGCAGCACTCGTGCTGTATCTATGCCTCAGGCTCGATCGTGCAAGATGACGGGAATAATTCAGTCCACACGCCTTGTGTCGCGCAAACACTAATCTCTGGGCAAAACAAGCTACACAGGGCGCCTCCTATAGTTTCATTTTCTCGTCAATATCATCTTTAGGAAGGTGGGTTGTAATACCTGTGCGATGTATGAGACCTCGAGTCCTCTCAGATCAACTTGGCAGGTACGTCGGACGCAGCTTCCGAGACGGCGAGTTACATCGTCCAGTCCTCTGACTGCTCCATCCGTTAGTGTCACGTCTAGGTCGTGGTTGAATAATCCGTTGCTTGCAACCTTTATATATCCAAAAAAAAGAGTTTGGTCTCAACTTCTGCTGTTGAAGAAAAAGTAGTAACTTCAAATACCTCTAAGGAAAAAAAAATATGTGTGTGTCCACTTTCCTCTAGAACACGAGACAAGAAATCGCCAAGAACGATACCGGAATCCCACCGCTTGGAGCAGCACAGAATACGATTAGACGAAACAAAAAATGCAATGCGCTCCAGGACATTGTACATGACGTTCCACTTGTTCGTATTCGCATAGCACGTTTTTCCTAATCTAAACGTCTGATGGGCTTCGCTCGGCATTTCTATTAAGAGAAAAAGAGCATTCCTGTGCGAGTCCACATTACAGTCTAAGCGATAGCTCTTACATGTTATTGAGCCCTAATGTGTCCTTTATGTCTTGCACTTGTACATCTGGCACCTTACGAGGAGATCAAAAGTGTTTCCAATGATAGCTGATAGATGGCGCCAGTGTGCCTCTGGGTTGCGCCGTCGTAAGCTATCACGACGAGGGACCACAATGTTCTCGACTGCACTCAAACGCAAATGTGTGAACCGGCCTTTAAGTTCGCGCTAAAAGCAAGAAAGTAGTTGTCCTATTGAATTTCAACTTTCGTCATTGATTGCAGTGTGTTAAAGCACCCACTTCAACACTGGCTTTCGCTCTACCCTTCTGGGCCTGTTTACTGGGGATTCTGAATTCAGGTGACCGGCTCCGTAGGGAGAGCACACCCATAGTGTTGCAGCCGATTTCGCTCAACGCTCGAAAGCCTTGCCTGCATTTTCCTTTAATTACCACTTCACGTAAACTCCCGCAGATATAACTTTACAAGCCTCTTCTAAATACGTACTAAGCCAAAGAATATCGGGTGCATTTCGAGCCCCTTTAACCTCTTTCTGCGCGCGAAAGAGAACTCGAATATTCAGAGCGAAAACCGACTTACGGTAGCCATTTGCCTGGAACGCTAGCTAACTTTAGTTTTTTTGTTCCCAGAGAGCCCACCACGTGATCTAGAACTCTCTTTTGCGGCTATTTTAACCGACGGGTGAGACACCCGCATTCATCAGCAAACGGGCAGAGGGTCGCTGCAAGTTAGAGCAGCCCGTCTTTTGTTCACTGTACGAGGAATAATCTCCGGTTACCTGGAATTCGTGGGTGGGAATGCGCGCCTCCAGATGAAGCGAACGTTTGTTCCTAGTGACAGACAGTTGATGCCTGCCAACGGCCTCGTCAACATGGGCGTTGAAGTCATTGACGGCCGCACCATTGCCTAGAGAAACAAAAGGCATTCTTCACCACAGTCTGTGAAGACAAGTTACACTGTTTATGAATGAATGTTCATTTATGAATGTTTATGAGGGACGCCGTCATCTTTAGCTCTATTGGGACGAACCCCCATCAGTTAACTGAGGTAGACCAGCTTAGTTGAACTCAATGACCGTTAGCGGCTCAATGACAGTTGGCGCCGCCGTGTAAGGTCAAGATTGAGTCAACTGTCGTTGGCTTAATGATTGTTAAGAACGCTTGTCTAACTACGGCATTAAACTGTTCCAACTTTTGATTATTAATCTTCGCCGTGAACCGAAAAACAAATGAAAAAGATTATATATATATATATATATATATATATATATATATATATATATATATATAGTTTTTTTTTTCTTTGTTTTTTTACCGCAAAGTAAGCTACTCATTGCCGAACGCTAATTCTCCGCTCAAATGTAGCGCTGCAGCTCCGAGCCAGATACCAAGGTTTCAGAAGTAGCCGCTAACATGTTCAAAAGTTACTTAAATTTTATAAAAAAAAAAAAAAAAAATGGCGCCTCGCAACTTTTGTACGAGATGTCGGTTAGTCCTGAAACTTCGCTATCGTGTTTCGGACCGTTCGCATTGCACTTGGGCGGAGCATGAGCGTTCAGAGATGCATAGTTCATTTTCGAGGTGAAATAGACGCTGTATTTTTTTTTTTTTTTTCAACACCTCCTATTTAGAGTTACAGACAACTTACAAAATGCAGCTTGTGGCGAATGCCACAGCCCGTCCGCTAATTGCGCAACCTCGCTGGCCGTGGAGTGATCTTAAGATGTTAGGCAATCGAGTTTCACGTCGTTTCTTAAACTCTCAGTTACTAAGCCTAATGACTAGACGACTAGACGTTCTAACGGATGAGTATTTGAAAATACCATTGAAATCCGTATTTTGGAAATGTGTTCCTGATACGTACGTAGCACAAGGCTTTCCGTAGAAAAAACCTGCGGTGTTTTGTTGGACATCGCTCAGCTAGAACTGGCTACGACATTTTACAAACCAGAAACTTTTCAGCCACATTTTTTTTGTGCGATCTAATAAGAAATTATATATTGACTTACCAAATGTGCTTGCAGCGAGAAGGAAGGTAGCCAACCTCAACATTTTTTTTCAAAAGCGCCTGAATGCCTAAAAAAGAAACAGGAAGGCGATAAAAAAAATATACACACACACAGGAATAAAATAGAGGTAGCCTGGACAGCGAGTGTCAGGCAACACTCGCTGTTCAGGCTACAGTTACTACAAAACAGTCAGTACAAAAAAAAAAAAGAACAGCGTAAGTACGAAAAATATAAACACAATATTAAACAGCCGTGCCTATAAATATACTGAACCTCAGCTTCAATGTGACAATCTATGAAAAAAAAAGCGTCTATTTTTTTGCCAACCTCTTTTGAGAGAGTATCGCTGCGATTTCGGAGGTAGGGCTCTGCATATAAGGAACCATAAAATATATTTAAAAGTAAAATAAAACAAAAACAAAAACGCTTTGCGCTTCTACATTGCGCATGATGTAACCTTATGCTGAGCGTAACAGCGCTGACTGTCTTTTTTTAAGGTCTAACGATATTTTCAGCCACGCTATTCGCTGAGCTCTTTCAGCATGTTGCAGCAATTAGCTCTCTCAAGTGCTTTCCAAAAAGGTAGGCGCACCTGCTTTCTCTTTTTTAGATTGTATTCGCCGAGAACTGAGGAAGAGAAGCAGACGAGAGGGAACCTCAGTATGCCAAGCTCTGCTTGGAATGATTAGTGGGTAGAACAATATCGCGACTCTATAGGTGGCGCCACTCGTTCTCCAAAATGGCGGTTGTAGTGAGGGCCGGAGATGCGTGCCGCTGCTGAGCCTGCCCGGTGTGCTGGCTTCACTGAGCGACACGAAGTATTCCCCGCAATGCGAGGAAGCTAGGGTGTTATGAGCGCAGGTCACCTCTTTATCCTGAAAACAAAAACGGTGTTCCGCGTAATACTTACTCCAGGAGGCACGTTCTCATTCTGGAGCGAAACTGAAACTAACTTTTATTTTGATTTACTTTCTCGGTATAGGTCTTCATTTTGAATTCTTTCATAGCTCAAGATGTGTCTCACATCGTAAATATTTCGTTAAGTACGTTTTTCGCAGAAACTTTATTTTGTGACATACATGTTCGATTCAGGCACTTCAAAAACTTTTGGAGATTTCAGTGTCCCTTTAAAATAAAACCGAAGCGGATTTTTGTGCGCTCTCGCTGCCTTTTGCCGCTCAGATAATTGTCATGTGAAATAATGGATTGCGGGCCTTTTAACGGGTTTTGGGTATTGAGATGATTAATTGTGTTAACATTATTCCCAGCACGAAAATAACAGAATAAATCCAATTTTTACAACATATCCACGAAACGTATAAATTAACAAACGCTGTTCTCACTACAACAGCCCAAAGCCGGAATCCGAGTCAGACAGGTGAAGCGTATGTGCTTTTTATAACAACGCGTGACGCAAAGGACTTTATATTGCATCCAGTGCTTGACTGTTTGTCTATCTTGATAACGATGTCAGAGTTTTTTCATGTGTTAAAAGGAAATACAAAAATAATTATACCCTTCTGCAAAAACTATTGTGGTTAAATGGCGTATTTTTGTGATCGCAGCGTTAATTGGGGGGCAAAAATGCCGTGATTTGTATTAATATTAATAAATCAATAATATTAATAGTTTGATAGTTTAATACGCATTTTTTCAAGCTCTAATATATTTTGTTGCTTATCGATCTAATTTCTAACGCGAACGAACAAGTATAGCAATCAAAAGTGTGCTAATTATCATCACTGGTGCCAAATGTACCATTTTAATTGCCAAGTTATAAAGTAAAAATAGTCTAAAATCAATCAAGCCCTTCTCGCTAATGTGAAAAATCCACGTAAAATTACATGAATTTTGGGTAAAGCATGTTTCGATATCAATGTCGCGACTTTTGACAATAAGCAAAAGTTACAAAGTCGCCGCCAAAATCGTTCCAGACCAAATACCCCCCCCCCCCCCCAAAGAATATATATATATATATATATATAATTTCTTTACGCGCTGTCGTTTTGCCAATCTCAGCCTCACCAATCCGAAGGAACGCCTACCTCCTTGCACGTCTACTCACTGCAGCGTTCGACCAGTGCAGTGCAGACCAAGGCCAGCTAGCTTTCACTCTACCCACTAAATACACCAATCAGAGCTCGGCTATCTGATGTCCCCGGCTCGCTCTGGGCTCCTCCTCTCCCCCAGCTATCGGCGCCTTAAGTAAAATGCGACAAGGAGAAGCGTTCCGTGCTCACCGTGCAAGGATGCCAAATGCGGGAAAGGGCCGGCTGTCCAAACGGAGACCTGGCTGCCTCTGTGCTTTCAAAGGAGACGTCGGGCGATTTTATATCATTCGGAGCTCCTTATCAAGCGTAATCCTATCCTAAGAGGTTGCAACACAGTGGCAAGTTATCAGCAGGAAGGCGTCCCAAGTTCCGCCTCTCGTTTTGATATCACTCCTTCCGCATTTGTTTAACGTCCTCCGCGGGCAAGGTATATTTTTTTTTTCTTTCTATAATAAGTTTCCTTAAACTAGGGAACTAATATATATGAAATAATATTGTTTCGAGCTATTTGTCTTTATTTTTTTCCTCTCTTTTATTACGTTTTTTTCACCACTCTCTACACAATATGCGCACCTCTTTGCTGTTATAACTACAGTTCCTTGCCCATGTCGCGCTCTATATTATAATTGTTAAGTATGACACGCCAGCTAAGGACCGAATTTTTTTCCGGTTCATTAAGAAATGAAAACAAAAATTAATTTCGTTGTTTCTGTTTGTTGCTCACCTGCTTGCTTTAGCGTTTGCCACTGCCTTCAAAAGCGCCGTCGTATACTGCCTTAGACGTTTGGCGGTGGGACCCCTTGAGGCAGCACGCTTATTGTCCCCGCTTCCTCACCGGCATTGTCGGCAAAAATAAAAGTAGACTTTTTACTGTTTTTATTTCTTTCTGAATACTCTCAAAGGCTCTCCAAGGGAGGGTATTACATACGGGAGATGGGAGAGTATGTAAGAACGCAGAGAGGAAGTAATGTTAGAATGACTGTAAAAGAAAATTAACAAAAACACGCGAAAACGTTGAGTGAGTTTTGTTTTTCTGCAATTAAGAATCATAGCCCCTCAAAAATATATAATTTCTGTTTTTGTTTGACTGATGTTCGCTTGCTTGCTTTAACCTTTGCCACTACCTCAAATAGTTCATGTCTATACTGTCTTAGACTGTATGGAAGAGGAACCCCGTTAGGCAGAAGTGCCCTATTGTCCCGACAATACAAATACGTTTTTGTTTTTTTTTTATTCAGAAGGCACTTTAGGGAAAAGTAATGAATGGGAGCAGGAGGGGGGTGTTCATAAGGATACAGATAGTAATTACTGTAAACATGACTCCAGAGCAAGATGAACAAACAACACGCGAAAACAGTGAACAAAATATATAAGCATAGGAACTAGAGAAGAGAAAATAAAAACACTTACACTTGTTTTCACCTCAAGAAAAAAATCAAGTTTTTGCCTTTCATACGCGGCTCGAATTTGTTTCTGCGAAATTTGGTTTTCAGAGGAGAAAGCGATGCTTTTCGATTTTCAAACGTCTACGTCTTGATAAGATAACAGATATCTAATGTAGAATGCATGTGCGTATATCTTAATTCTCTACATAAAGTGGAACATTAGTAATGCTCCGCGTGGAGGCAGACTTTTTCGTGTGCTCGCTCATTGTCGGGATAGAACCACCACTCCCCCCTTTCCTACGAATCGGAGCGTTTGTCCCTCGCTGAGTTCTGCAAACGTCGCAGAACTTTACTGTAAGACACCCGATTATCAATTCGCCAGGAAGAACACACTCTGAGTGAAATATGTCCCTTAAACAAGTTAAAAGAAAAGCAAATCAGCATCGTCTTTTCATTTGACTTGACCTAACGCGCTTTTTTGGGTCGTGGCGAACTTCAACACTTCCACTTACTTGACCGTTGCTTTGACTCAGAGTCGTATGCGTAGCTGCAGCTTTCGTCACCTGTAATGACATTGCAAAAAAGTTTGGATCAATTTCCAGATGTTCTTTCAGGTGTTTTCAAGCGTGCACTCGGGAATGTATCTGATCATGAGTGGGGAGCAATTGAGGCACAAATTTGACTGAAACATTTTTTACGTTCAAAATTTCGGTCAAAATGCGTTGACACAAACTCCAGGACACTCTAATTGTTGAGCACGTTCTTCAATTGGTCTTGGACGCTCTGCCAAGACAAAATTTTGAATTTTGTAGATGTTTTGATTAGCTGAGTAAGTTGAACATTCCCCTGAACGAGGTTGGTCGTCGATCAATATTTTACCGGCCGTGAAGCGAGAAACCCACTCTAGAATTGCGAATTTTTCATAGGAACTTTTCTCTAGGCTCTCTGAAGCATTAAAAGAATTTCCGCCGCTGTTTGTCCCAAAATAAAGTAATATTTCCGGCCCCACGCTGTTTCATGAAGTAAGGCATTGCGAAGAACGAGGAATGATTTTGAAGCGCTTGGAGAAACAACGGCGGTCGACGAACTGTCGCGGAAGGGGTGACACAAAAGCCTGCTAGCGGCGGAAGCTGGTACTACGAGCGGCCCGCCCTCCAGAAATTCATTCCGGTTACTTTTAGGTCTGCCCTTGTATATTTTTCGAGTCAAATGTCGCCAAAATTGATTGCTCTTAGTGTGGCAGCATTTACGTTTGTAATAAAAACTACGTGATTTGAATGGAACCGACACTATTAAAGACATTAGGAGAAAATTTACTTTTTTTTTTATTGGTTGAAAGTTTGAGGAAACCAAAGACCGGGCAAGGCGAAATGTAAAATGCAAAATTACACCAATCAAAATATCTCATCAAGCTGGACTTAATTATGCTGCGACGCCATGGCAAAAAAAAAAAAAAAGATGAATAGAAAACTTTGTACAAGTGTACCTTTGTTCAATGCGAGTTTCAAGTTATAATTAGACGTTTCATACGCGCATCTAGATTAACTAATGATGATAATACAATTAAATGCATAGGTGCAAGCGAGCTGGACAAGAAATACGATAATAATCCCTGGCGAAGGAGAAGAAAAGGGACAAAGGGCAAACACAAATTTCCAAACACAGGGGTCGCTGGTGCGCGACCGAAAAAATCTGCCTGAACCTGGTATTGAACCCGGGACCTCTCCAGTTCCAGTGGAGCGCTCTACCAACTTGTTGGTAGAGCGCTCCAGTGCAAGCTGCAAGCTTGACGGATTTCTTGTTTTCAAAATATTGACATTTGACGGTCTAAAAAGGAAAAATGGCTTTTTTTTTTTTTTTTTCAACCTGTTAGGGAACGCATGTTTGACATCTCGATATTCAGTCATTTCTCAAACTACCGCACTGAGACTCTCCCATGATACCGTCCAAATAATATAAATTATGCTTAGATAAGTGAAAGAAATGTTGTGTTTTATTATAATATAGAAAACAAAATTCAAATAATTTCCAGTAGGGTTGATTGTTGGACTAGTTGGTAATCATTGAGATCAAATCCTGCGCACAAGACGAGGGCAAGAAAAAGACACAAACACGGCGCTTCAGATTCAGGGCCGTGTTTGTGTTCTTTTCTTATCCCCGTCTTTCTTCTTTTCTTGTTTTTTTTTTTTTTTTCGCGGAATTTCAGGAATAATGTCTTTTTGTTGAATTTTTTCAAAGTTTGGAAAGTTCTTACGTTTGACCTATTCAAGATATTTTAATGGAACTGATATCCTCGAGAAGCTCAAACTTAGCTCGTTATATTGCATGCACATTCAATATTATATGTAAACAATAAAATATGATACATACATCCGAATCAGCAAACGTATAAAAAATGTATAGCAAATTCGAAATCTATTTTCTCAAAGACCCTATTTTTATTTGCTTAATTTTTTTATTAGTAGCAAGGCGGAATAGTGTTTTATTAAAATAGCATAATATATATATATATATATTTTTTTATATTACCGAAAATAAAGCTCGAGCTTTGTCAGATCTGCTTTCTAAAATGGCAGGCTTTTTCGGGTAGTAACTAAAATTTACCCCGTATTACGCCCAATTTCAATTATCTGTGAGCCTACATACGTGTTAAGTTAAGCATTAATCTTAGGTAAATATTGACATCGCAACCACACTATAGCCCATGTCCATAAAAAGTTGCCTACGAAATGTAATTCCACGAAACGAGTTTCGACGAAACTATAGGGACCCCCTCGTGACCCGAGCAACCCGTGACGTGAGCAGGCTTGGCCATACGCAGATATCGTGGGAATAAAGCAGTACGTGCTCAGCAACCGACAGGAGTGGACTTCCTCGCAATACGGGCCGAGACGTCCAATATAACAAACACTTTTATCCCACTACTTCAGTTAAGTGGTTCGCGCAAAACGAAACTATGCAATGAAGTACCGTGTTGCTTTTTTTTCCAGATAACGTTGAGGACGCAACGTTATCTGGAACGTTCAGATGCCGTTTCGGACAACTCTGGACGCGGAAGCTCGCGCTCTTGAGTGACCGTTTAGCAATAACACGCGGACACTACCGATAAACGGCCGCTGAAAACGAAACTATGCTCAACTTGCTTGTAGAGTGTACAACCGGATAATATACGCTATACAAGATGTTTGTAATATAACAAAAAGTATCATGTAAACTTCGGTGAAAAATTTTGCTAAATAAACAGTCTAAATATACCTTTCCTTCGGCGAAAAAAAAACAGCAATATATTACGGTAAAAAATGTGTTTTTAATTTTAATAAGCACTCCAGAAAACGTCCCGTTATGTGTAAGAAAACAGCTTCTGTTCCCACATCCCAAATATTTTTGGTGAATACACAGTGTACACAAACTCAGATTACTGGAAAGATACAGAACTTTCATCATTCCTGCAAAACGGATTATCGTTAAATCGGAGAACGAAGCCATAACTAAAATAAATTATTTTATGAAGGAACGCAACACATAGGATGGCGTTCCAATATATGGTATCGCCATACATGGTATCACAATACGTGGCATAGTACGATCGTTTTCGAATCAAATGCGAACAGCAGAGAGCTAGCTAGCGTGCCCGCTGCGCCTCCTGGAGGCCACTGTAAACTGATCCGTACTCCGGGTTGGAGAGTACGGCGCTGCGAGAGTGTGCGTCCTGGCCCTACACAGTGTTGCCACATGGCACTACCAAAAACGCGCCAACGACTAGGGGGTATAGCCCAAATATAGCCAAAGCCGGAAAAAAATAGCCCAAATTGGCAAGACTAAAAACAATATGTTATTTTTATTGACAATTTTTAGCGACAGTTTTTT